AACAGAGTTAGTAGCACCAGGAAGCCAGCGGCTGCAACACTGATGTTCCGCTGTAACGGTGGTGGACTCATCAGAACATAGTGGGCGAGCTGACCAATCAGAGCACACTGGGCTCACAGGGAGGGGGTAGGAGCTCCAACAAGCCGTTTAGGACAGAGAGTGAATACACATACTTTACAGAGATGCTGTATGAGAAACCAATGTGAGTTTGGAAAATTGCACAGTATAAATCTATTCTAGTAGACCTCAACAATGGAATTATGATTAGTAGAAATGGCCATGACATGGGACCTTTAATAAAACTTCCAGATTTGAGAGGAATATCAGCAACAATGTTCTGTTTTTTACACGCCTCTAACAAGGAGTGCTCGTGGGTCATGGACTTCCTGACTGACAGACCACAAGTCAGAGTCGGTAAGCACCTATCATCCCCCCTTATACTAAACACAGGAATCCCACAAGGTTGTGTGCTTAGTCCCATGCTCTTCACACTCTTTACCAGCGACTGCACCCCCATCCACACCTCCAACTCCATAGTAACATTTGCAGACGACACCACAGTAGTCGGTCTTATTACAGACAATAAGGAGACAGCCTACAGGCTCGAGGTGGAACATCTGACTGACTGGTGTAAGGAACAACCTTGTTCTTAACACCTCCAAAACTAAGGAGCTCATTGTTGATTTCAGGAGGACAAAAAAGGAAGTCCATCTCCCCCTCCACATCCATGGAGAAGCAGTGGAGAGCGTGGAAGACCTACGGTTCCTTGGAGTCAACATCTCCAATAAATTAACCTGGACCTCAAACCTGGTGAAAAAGGCACAGCAGAGACTGTTTTTCCTGAGGAAACTAAGACAGGCCAGGCTTCCACAAAAACTGCTGGTAAACTTCCATCGGTCGACCATTGAAAGCACCCTGTCCAGCTGCATAACTGTGTGGTACACCAGCTGCACAGCCGCAGAGCGGAAGGACCTGCAACGGGTGGTGAAGGCTGCTCAGCGCATCGTTGGGACTGAGCTGCCCAACCTTGATAACGTCTACAAAAGTCGACTGCAGAAGAAAGCCAGCAGTATCATCAGAGACATCACACACCCCGGCCACTCACTGTTCGAACCGCTGCCATCCGGCAGACGGTTCAGGTCAATAAAAGCACGCACCAACAGACTGAAGAACAGCTTCTTTCCCAGAGCTGTGGCCTCCATCACTCCCATCCCTGTCCAACCACTAAACGCACTATAACATGCACACATACAAACACACTACTTCCCATCAAAGACTGCAGCCTAAAATACCATGTTATTTATTTGTATATTTATTAAGTATCAACTGATATTTTTTTAGTAACTATTTATATTTAAACATTGTAGCTTTATATATGTTAACATTCTGGTAAAGTGCATATGATGACCCTGATTATTATTGCTACTATCTCTGCTTTATCACTGTTTTTATGGATGTGTTCTTATTTATGTTATGTATTGCATTGAGAGATGCCAACTGAATTTCGTTGCACTGATGTGTGATGACAATAAAGTTTCTATTATTCTATTCTAGGAGGATAAGGTAACAGATACAAAAATAATTTATTTAAAAAATGTTTTCCTCCCATACACCTGCAGTCACCAGCAGATATTGAAAGTGAGTCGATAAACAGAAATTAACCGGGTTATCCCATTTTCACAGGCTCTGAGTTCATTTTAGTTTTGCAGTGCGGTGCAGGTTGAGTGAACACACTAAGCCGCAGGAGCTGATTTGTGCTGATTCCCGTGGCCTATTGTGTGCACCACGGCCAGGTGATTGTGTGGGATCCTGCATCTGGCACTTGTTACTGTTGTTTTCCACAGAGATGCTAATCATCAAGCATGCGATGATTAAATGTCACAAAGCTCCTTCGGTTGTGGCCCCCTCACTGTGAATAACCCATCTCACCCACAGGCTGAGGAGTGAGGCCTGTACAACAGAGCCACAGCTCCCCTACAGCTCGCACTGCCAAACACAACTACACAGTGTGCAAAGGTTGTTTTTTCTTCATTGCATTACTGAGTCCTTATGCACATTAATTTAAAAAATGTTAACCGTAGTTATTATGTAGTAGTTGCATATGTATTGCATAATGAGCCATTTATTAAAACAAATAAGTCTTTGGAAATAATTGAGTGATAGAGATGGGGAAAAAGATAAGAAGCCAAGACAGTCATGTGGTTTATTGATCTCTAAGTTATATGGACTCCTTGATCATTGTGAAACTCAGCCATGTGACACTTTTGCATCTGTTTTAAGTAGCTGCACAGTATAAAGCATATGTGCAGTGAAAAAAATGCATCTCCTTGTGAACTATACTCAAAAATAAAGTCACCAAACAAACTGATTCATGGCTGTAGCTAAACTATGAAAAGTACTAAAATCTTACTTTTCAGTATACTAGCAATTGTTTTTATTATCTTCCTACTGTATAAACCACATTGGCTTTATGACACTTGATTTAAGTTTAAGTTGTTTTACCATTATAAATGTTATATTTTGCTGACTGCCATTACTGATATTAAGGCATGAAGCCCCTTTTAAATGTGTGACACTGTAATTAAAAGGAACAAACGGAAACACAATAAGGTTTATCATGTTATAGTAAGCTTAGAAAAAAAACCTCTACATTTAAAAAAACATCCTGAATATTCAAGAACCCAAAGGCAACAGACATGGGCCAACAAGGTGTGATAACAATTGCATAGAGGGAAGAACGATAAAGGTATATAAAAAGACAAAGGTAGAATCATCATGTCAAACAGTCAGCAATATTTGACTTAAATGTTAAGGACAAGCACAACTTAAAGATAAAGGCAGTTATATATTACATTTATTTCTAAAGAATGCCCTAGATCATTCTTTGGTAATTTATCTCAGATAAGAATGCATCTTGTTTTTTGCAATACCGCTATTTTCCATTATCTTCATTTCTATTCATCAAATGTGGATAAAGAATCAAACCATTCAGCTGTCTTTATCATATTGTATTTCTTGTAAGAGAGTTCAGTCAATCATACAGAGCGCATGCTGTCTGCAGAGTGAAAGACCCATAGTACAGTTTGCATTGGATATTAAAACACAGAGTGGCAAAAGGGGTGGGGTGTCATTCTGGAAGTTAGGGAGGCAGTATCAGGACGTTCTCAGTTCAACAGAAGTTGAAGTTCATACTGTTGTTAACACATCTCATAGTAATGTAAGCAAGCACACATAGAAATAAAACATGTTTTAGTTACAACCCTGAAAAAACAGTAGGGTCACCAACACTTTAAACAGCTCTGTGGCAACAGGCCATCGTAGGATGGGGGTGACGGAGGACATTTTGAAGCTGGTGGGGACTATACCAGGAGCCAGAGAAGCGTTGCTGAGGACCACCATGTAGGGACAGAGGGTGGGTATGCAGTCCTTGACCAGGGCTGTGGGCATGGGGTCCAGGGAGCAGGTGGAGGTCTTGGCCGAGCTGACCAGTTTGGCCACTTGGAGAGCATCCACAGGGGAGAAGGAGGAGAGGTTGCAATGGGAGAGGCGTGGCGCTGCGCTGGGGGTGCGTTGCCAGGTGGCTGAGGTGCAGGTAGGGGAGGGCCAGGTGCCAGGAGCTGCTGATGGATGGCCTCGACTTTCGCCTGGAAGAAGTCAAGGAATTTGGAGCACAGATCGGGAGCCCCTGAGGGCTGGGGGGCGGAGTAGACGGTTGATGGTGGAGAAAAGTGTTCTGGGGTTGCTTTGCTGGGCACCGATGAGACGGGAGTAGTAATGAGTCTTGGCGTGGGAGAGAGCTTCCTTATAAGTTTTGACATGGTCACGAAAAGCCAGGAGGTGGACTGTGAGGCCAGTTTTTTTGGAGAGCCTCTCCAGCTGACGAGCAGATGCCTTCAAGCGGCGGAGTTCGGTGGTGAACCAGGGGGCAGGACAGGTGAAGGAAACAGTCTGGGTTTTGATGGGGGCGAGAGAGTTGAGACTGAGGGATAGGGCAGTGTTGTCGTGGGCTACCAGGCCGTCCACGGTGGAGTAGGAGGGAGCCGAGGCCATGTGGGTAGCTATCGGGTCGGATAGGGCCGGTGCACTCACAGTCTTGATGTTCCTAAACATAATGGTGCGTTTAGGATGCTGCCTGGGCAGGGAGGCCGGCACAGTGAAGAGGATGGCGTGGTGGTCAGATACAGCCAGGTCGAGGCACGGGGGCGGAGAGCCGGTAGAGCACACCAGGTCCAGCGTGTGGCCTTTGGTGTGGGTGGGGGGCCCTGGACATGTTGCTTGATGCTGAAGCAGTCCAGAAGTAAAAGGAATTAAGCAGCAAATGTGCAGTTACTGGAGTCCACGTGAATGTTAAATTCGCCAAGCAGGAGAGTTGATGGAGACATGGAGCAGAGAGAGGTGAGTAACTCAGACAAGAAGGTAGTGGAAGCTTTAGGTAGGCGGTAAATGAGGGCAACCTGGAGCGGAGCAGACCCAGCCAGTTTGAAGACAACACACTCAAATGAGGTGGTAGTAGGTACTGGGAGTTCTTTAACCAGGATGCCAGCTCGGTGGATAACAGCCAATCCACCGCCACGACCCAGGGAGCGGGGCTTCTGGATGTACAGATAGCCTGGGGGCAGAGGTCGCGTTAACCGAATATTTTCCGTCTATGACGGATTTTTTTTAACAATGACGGACAAATCTGAAAGCAGTCTGTCATTTTGACAGATTAGAACAAACTCAGAACAGCGCCAAAGTTTCCCCGCAGCGAGGCTCCGGTGTTATGCATGCCCTCCAAAAAGGAAATTATACCGTTTCCAAACCTAACTGTGCCGTACAAATCATTGAAATGTCTGAGTTTTGGCTTTACGCTGTGCACGCTCCCGCGAGGTGCAGCAGCCATGCATAACACAGCGCATGTGAACTGCGTTCTTTCCTATGAGAGCTGCTCATTGGCGCATGAAGGCAAAATGGCCCAACTTTTGAGAGAGCGAAACGTCACAGATTACCCGTCATGCCTGGCTGTCAGAGCAGAAGTACCCGTATGTGCGCTCACAGAGCATGCCAATGGGGAAAAGTATTTTTGGGCCGGGTGACGTCACGGACTGATACGGTAATTTCAGTACCGCCGTTTGGACACAACGCATTTTGGGCACAGAGCACTTCCTGGGGGCTTGGATCAGACAGTCCTGTTTCCGCGACATTCGATTGCTTCAATGTCGAAGCTATCAGAGATCTTTTTCAAGTCGGCATGGATCTGACTTGCTTCGGGTCGCTGTTCTGGCTTCTCACACAGCATTGGCTTTATTATGAGGTACTAAAAAGAAAAAAAGAAAAACAAAACAGGTACTTGGATCTGTGTTGCATCAAGCAGAGGTGGAAGAAGTACTCAGATGTTTTACTTAATTTAAATTAGCACTACTACAGTGTTAACATACTCGGTACTGCATTCAAAATTAAACTCAAGTAAAAGTACAAAAGTATTTGTATCACAATATACTTTCAGGACAAGAATTAAAAATCCTTATGCAGAATGACTCATTTCAGAATAATATCTATTTAATGATTGTATAATAACTATTAATTAATTAATGTGTTCATCATTTTGATGTTATCCTTGATGAAGATAACGTTTATTTGAATTACTTCATATGCTGCTGGGTCACTTCACCTGTAGCGATAAATTAAAGCATCAAAAGCCGTAAATTAAAAGTAGGAGTAAAAGTACAATATTTGCATCTAAAGTGTAGTGGAGTAGAAGTATAAATTAGCATAAAATTGAAATACTTAAGTAAAATATAAGCTCTTCCGAATGTACTTTTGTAGAGTACTTGAGTAATCGCACTTGTTTACGTTCAAACACTGGCATTAAGAAATGTTATGAAACTGCAGTATTACTATACTCAGCCGTATTTTATACATATTGAAATCACAGGGAAAACAGATAAAGTTTAATTTGAGATGCAGATTGCAAATATCATTTTTTGTGCAATAAACAATTTGTATATTTTTACACCGTATGGCAATCATGGGAACATGGCCTAAATTGGTGTGAAATAGTAAAAACTACAAACAACTACAAAGTCAGGGCTCTAGATTGAAATGAACTAGATTGGTTTTAATGTATTAGTCATTTTTTTGTTTCTTTAAGTGTCTGAGTGTTACATTTTTCGTAAACTTTAAGATAGATTTATTATAAGAGACAAGGTTGAACTTCCAACATAAAATAGAACATCTCAGCCTTGCTAATGTCCTATGCATCAACATAGCTCAAATTGAAAAGTTTAAAAGCGTAACTTGTCCCTAGTTACACAAGAGGGTTAAGAGCATGTTAACATACTAAACAACTAAATTGCATGAACATTGACAAAATGTTAAAAATAACAGACCTCTTGGTGGAAATTGTGTTGAAACTCTTTGGGGAATTTCTGCTCTCTGAGGTCGGTCCAACCCTGTGCAGTGAAAGGACGTGTTACAATAATAACAGAACTGAAAAATCTGCTCCATCATGCTCTGATGAACTGAAATAGTTTAAAGACTTCTGACAAAAAAAATTCTGGCAGCATAAAATAACAGGTTATTACCAATGACAAGTACACAGTTAGCAGAATTTTGAATCGTACCTAGAAAACTCACCTTGGCCCTTTCACAACGGGTGGACATTTTCCAGAGGAGTTCAAAGTATATCAACCCCAAAGGAAAGATATCAACTTTTCGGTCATAAGTCTTTTGCCTTTCCTGTTTTGATACAATACAAACACAATATTGACAAGAAGGCAAGATGCAGCTGTTATCTTAAGTTTATGTTTAATATCCACATGTATAAAGTATACATGTCAACGCAATCTAATCCAATGGTCATTGAAACCAGTCTGATATTTTTAAGATATTAAAGTGGCTGAGATTAAAACATTTAAAATGTGTGAGAAATAAATCTGAAATTAGTGACAGGGGGTTTTAATTGTCAAGCAACCACATCAAATTTGCAAGGTTGTATCAACCTAGTCAGACTACAGACATCACCACTTGCCATTTAATATGCCAGCACTGGAATTTAATCTTGAAGATTCTGAGGTTTTTTTCTTCAATTTCCTTACAAAACTGGCTATAACCCACATTTACATTTAGTAAAATCTTCCCAGCTCTCCCTTTGACATTTTGTCAGTACAGAACATCTCACCTGCTCAGGAGCCATGTATGAAGGGGTTCCTTTGCCCATCGATCTCTCCCTCAGGTTCTCAGGATCGTTATCAAGTGTGACAATACCAAAGTCTACGATCTTCACTTGTCCATCTTGCCCAATCATGATGTTGGCAGGCTAAACACGGGAAATAAATGAACAAAGGTGTATGTTGTGTCTCAATATGCGTACCTTTGGATTTACACTTGCTTTTTTGAATACATGAATGGGTTAAAACTGAGAAGTATGGAAACATGCAGTGCACTACGAGAACCAGGATTGGGCAACCTCAACAACACAGCATAATACAAATAAAAGTTATACATGTGGGCTTATTACACTATCTTATACAGTATATGCACCTCTACACTTCTCAAAGCAGCCACCAGTGATATTATTGGGTTATACAGCAGACTGACTGCAAAAACGACAACATTGCTAGACAGCGAGAATTGACACTTTCTCTGAGGGCACAGCAGCCGTTTGCAGTTTTCACATTATACGACACATAGCAGTTTACTAAAGTAAGTGTCTTAATTGAGAACAAGCTGTTTTCATGATCGACGTGGTGTAATACACTTTTTTTTCCTCCACTTTCTCTTACCTTCAGGTCCCTGTGGATGAGCGTCTTAGAGTGAATGTACTCGACTCCTCTGACTGTTTGCTGAAACATCGTGAGAGCCTCTTCTCTTCTCTTGGGGTCTGGCAGAGATTTCTTCTCATTGTTCTCATCTATCCACACTCTGAGCGATTTTACACACAACTCAGTCAGAATATATAGGTAGCGGTTCCTGGTCGGTGAATTGATAGAACACCAGGAGGAGAAAGAAAAGACAAATGAAGAAGTGCATACCTCAAGTACGTATCTTTATTGGATATCGGATTGTCGCTTACCGTGTAGAACTGCCACTCTCATCTGGACTGTATCCTGAATCCTCCAACCAACTGAGGAGGTATCGCACAATGTTAGGGTGATCGAGGTCTGACAATGTCTTCACCTCTTTCAGAGCTTCTTCAGTCCTAAGGAGAAGAAAATAGCTCAGCTGAAACTTTACTTTTTTTGCACATCATCTTTAAATGTTATATTGCACTAGGAACAGTCTAATAAAAAAACATGGAACGTAATTTAATGTTTGACTTACTCTCCACATCGTACAATCTTTATTGCACGATACTTCTTTGCCAGTTTGTCTCTTGCCTTAAAAACTTGACCATAGGATCCTTGGCCGATCTTCTCTATGCAGTCAAAGCCTGGTGAAAACCTATTGAAAGAAAGTAAAGTATTTATTATTGTACATTCATTGTACCAAACAAAACTATACCTTAATGTTTGAATTTTCCATACCTTGACATTTCTGATTTGGTTGATGTCTGATCATTGGGACAGTTTCCTGTGTTCACTTCCTGATTCTCTGATTTACAGCTTGGATCAGTGGTTTCCAACCTGGGGGGCGCGCCCACCAGCGGGAAGCTTAAACATTATTTACTCGTAAAATTGACACATTTTTAACACAACTGGCAGTTAAAAGAAAAGTGGACGAGCCCACGACAAGTCTTTCAGCTATAATGCCCAAATCAACAAAGTATGATGAGGCCCGTCCGTCCCTCCCTCCCTTTTTTCGGCTGCGTAGTTTCAAATTCTAGCGCACTTGAGCTGGTTTCTCTATTCTTAGCTACCCTACCTTTAAGTACCTCAATATCAGTACAGTACAGGGGGCTCGGAAATATTTCCAATTACACAAGGGGGGTCTGACTGAAAAAGGTTGGGAACCACTGTCTTAGATCATAGAAAAGAAAAATCATTATTCTTTAAAATGATTTACATCTCCAACAAGCTCACTATTCCTCAGTGCTGCTTTGCCAGTCATCTTGGAAACCTTTTGCGATTCTAACAAGATATCAATTAAATGAAGAGCACCAATATTATAATTTTGTTAAACCATATGTACTGCAGCCTTCAAGGTGATTTACCGTGTTTTGGGCTTCACAACAGGATCTTGTTCCTTAAAAAAAAAGAAAGAAGGATATATAGATGTTGATGCCAGTGAAATTAAAGCAGCATTTACATAGACGTATCAAATTGTTTAACATCTTGCTTGGTAAATAGAAAGTTAACTTACTGATAGAAATTACCCAAGACGTACATTTTGTGCTCCATGTTTGGGGATTATTTCCACCAATAACGGGCCAGGACCACATGATAATACATCCTCGAATAAAAAGGAGTGTGTACACAACATCAAGTTAAGTTGGCAGCTCTTTCTAGTTACAGAAAAAGGGTGTTCTTACAGTTTACCAGTATTTACCATGTCTTTGTACAGATATCAACCCTTTTGGAGACTTGACACAACTCAGGTTCTCTGGGGATAAACTGAGAACTATATTATTGATTTTCCCTTCCAGAACCCAAGAGATTAAGGATGAAAAAATGACTGACCTCATCCTCGGTAGGACTTGATGAATTGATGAAGTCAGTCATTGGTACGCTTTTTGATTTTGCATCACGGGTGTCCCTTGGAGAATACAAACAGAGACATTAGTAACGTATCGTGTTTTGATTCATTAATAATAATAGATTTAATTTGTCAGCGCTTTTACAGGTGCTCAAAGACGCTTTACAGATATAGTGAAGAGAAAATAAAATAAAATAATATTGATATCATTAGTCAGTGACTTGCATTGCAGTTGGTGGTCTGGCTTCAGCAACATCATCATTCCCGGAGGAGGTCTAAAAAGCAAAATAGAAAATATTTCTTATCGTCTGTCACCATGTCAACCAAGCACTAATTAGTTTGGTCCCCAAACAAGATTTTTGTAAAGGCAATTAATCATATAGTCTCGTTAGTTATAATTTGTCTCAATAAAGTTATCATGCTTTTTGCTGTGACCCTGAGGTTTCTTCCCTTGTGTAACACGTCTGTTGTTCCTGTGTACGTTAGCATTTGACAGGCAGTAGGGAGCTACTGTGACCATTGTCCGGTTTCTTAAAATGTAATGTGTATTTAGTTTCCTGATTCCTTTATATATGACCTGTGTGTCTTTGTACTCAAGATCAGATCCCAGTAGCACACGCTGGGACGGGGATCTGTCCTTTCAGCAGAAATTAATAGATTCCGTTAAATGCTTTTAGACTTTATCAAAAAACGCAACTTCATTTTTGCTTCTATATTGGGTAATTTCTCAGCAGAAGGTGATTATGTTGTGGAATTTCCACATTACACAGAATGTGAAATGAGCTTTTTAGGCCATGATCGCTGCATGAATAAACATGTATAAAGGGGATATTTATGTGCAATCGTGGGAGTTGTGTTTGGAGCCCAAATGGGTAGCACTTTTTGAGTTGACTGTGATTTTTTTTAAAGGGGAAGCCTATGTAAGAATTCCATGTGTTGATTATTTTTTGTGCGTAACCACTTGAGTTTCGTTCATTCGCAACCTTTCGACTTGAATCCTAGGTCGCGTTCACACCAGTCTTGTTTTATACAGTAGAATCGAATTAAAAATTAACCCCTTGGTATATTCGTTTGGGTTGGTGTGAACGCAGTCCGAGACCTCTGATGAGAACCAAACATCCGGGCTCTGGGGCCTCATTTATAACGCTGTGCGTAGGATTCACGTGGGAAGGTTGCTTACGTAGTAGAAATCCAAAAAATAGGTACAGAAATGTTCCGATTCACCAAACATTGCGTACCGGCGAGGAAAGTGCGTACGGCACTTCCTACGCCCGTTTCCCTTTATAAATCACAATCGATTCGAAATGCGGTGCAGCTTTTGCGGGCTTCACGTAACGCCCATATTTGCCTATAAATAGTCAAAGAAACGCCCATTCATTCATTCATTCTGACTGACTGCATGAAGAAGATCGCAGGAAATGACGACAGAACAGCTAAAAAAGACATCTCACACCGTGTCAGATTTTGGTTATTTTGGGGAGGTCGAGATAAATCATATTGTTTGGTGGATGCAGTTTGAACCAGAGTAGCAGCATGGCGGTCGGATCGTCACCAAAATAAATAAATAAGTGGTCCGAAAAAGGTTCATGACAAAAACAATACACATAGCCTTCCTCAGGCAGTGTGTTTGTACCGGGGACAGGAGACACCCCCTTGATGAGAGACTGTAAGAAGTGATCGGGGAATCCCCCCGGTGTGGAGTCATGACGACTGGATCTGAATTATGTTTTTGTATTTGGTGGTTTGTGTTCCAGCTGTCGATCAGCTGTGCGCAGCGTCTCCACTGCAGCAACTCTATATCCACCAGTTAAAGGAAATACAACTAATGTGTTGTGTTATATTAGATGTACAATTGACCACATATGGTGTTCTTAGCTTCCATACCTCCTGTGTTTTACGAGCGACTTATCAAGTCTTGGCAAACGGCATAAAACATGATTAAACGTGATAGTATATAAAACCATGCTCGTATCTAACCTATAGAAATGCAAAACGGCGTCAGTTTAGACATAATTCTGTCCTTCTGCTTACCGCACAATTTATGAGAAAACATTTCATAACATTAACACAACATATTTGAGGTGGTTTTAAATAACATATCCTTATTTATTTCTCCAAGTTATGTTTTTGTGTGCACTGAGGAGTCTCAAACAGGCGTTTGTTTAATCATTTTAAGATTGGCTTTAATCAATGTTTGAAAATGAATTCTTCATATATGATAAATGAGAGGTAACATTTTGTTTATGGTATTATTTCCACATATTTCTCACCATTCTTCCTTCTGCCAATGGTGTCGCAGTTTCTCGTCTCTCCCGTTTTTGTGCTTAGTGCGTACGCATGGGTTAGAGTTTGCGTGGAGGACCGCACATTTTCCCGCCAAGTTACTATTTTATAAAATCGCAAACATTGCGTAGAAACTGCCGTACGCCATTTTTTGAGTATATATCCCTTTATAAACGAGGCCCCAGATCCGCCCAAAAGAGGTGGTCTTGGGCCAAGTGCTAGTGAACTTTGGAGCGGTTCATCGCTGGTGTGAACGCAGTCCGCACCAAAACATGAAACCGATTCTTTAAAAAAATGAAACAATGTAACAAACTCGTGCAGACTATTAGGTGTGAATGCGACCCTACACAGTTTCATAAGTGAAGCCCAAGGTCAGCTACAATTTAAACCTCTTTTTTTTTACATTTTATAAGTAGACTCCAGTACAGTTTTCTTTTGTAAGAGCCACCTAGATCCTTTGAATATCATAATCCAATTTATATTATTAATGACCTAGACTTATGCATTTTAAAGTGCTTTAATTGGTTGAGGAGACCTAGTGTGCATGTGTATAACTTACCTCTGCTGCTTCCTCCTTAGCGTCCTTCGTTGATTTCCCAGGAACAGCTGGACGCTCCTTATCACCAACTACAAAGCTAGAGCATCTATTGTTACACAAACAGGATTTTATGCATTTTAAGATTTCGACTCAACAACCACAAATTATGTTTGGGTGCCGTGTGGAGACTTACTGGGGAGCATCATGTGGATCTTGTCTGGTTGATTGCCCAGCTTTCATATCCACCCTGTCCTTCAGAACATTTTTATTTAGCACGCCTAAAACTTTAGTGGCCGTTTTCTGAGGAACTTTTGCAGCTGTTTTTGTCTGAAAGTCAGGAAAGAAAACAATAATAATTCCCAAAAGCTACATTTCGAAAAAAGTATCAACAAAACAGGCACATCCGGATAATAAATGCGAGATGCTGGACAGAAGAACAAAAATAAATAACGCACACAAGAAAATACTGCCATTAACATACATCAATAATAACTACTATCTCATGTGTCAAGATCTTCATCAGAAAAAAATGTAAGGTTTGAAAGTAACTAATTAAATATATGTTCATGCAAGAATGATCTTATGTGCAGACCATTAAAAAAAAGAAGCATCCTACCACTGGTTTGGGGTTCTCCTTCTCTCTTAAACCTTCCAGGGCATTTTTAGCTGCATTCCGCTTGGCTTCCTTTGCGTTATTTCCCCCACCAATGGGAAAGGGTTGACCATTGACCACAGCCCTCGTGAAGAATCTAATGAAGAGTGGTAAAACATATAGTTATAGTCAAGATGCCTTGTGACAGTGTTGCACAATCAAAAATACACAATTAATAAGCAATGTGTGTGTTTATCGATGTGTTTATCGATAAATATATATATATATATGTATCGATTGATGATTTTATTCAATGCTTATGCTATGTTTTCATCATAGATTATTTAATTAACATATGAAATTACAAATATACTGCAAAGTAGGGATGGGAAGGATTAATCGAATATTCGAAATTATTCAGGTATTCGAATATGAGTTATGAATATTTTTATGTAATTTTCTTTTCCTTTCTTTTTGGAGGGGTGCCTAAATTGATTACATATGATCAAATTGAATAATTCAATGTATACGACAGTGCCATAGCTAAATGTGTCATTTGATTTGAAATCATTTGAGTCTTTTAGTGTCACTGGCTAAGCCCATACATCTAGGACAGGGGTGTCAAACTCAAGACCCTGGGGCCAAATCCGCCCCCGACTTCAAATGTAAATATGCCGGATTTTAGCTTTGAGCTCATTTCCATCCGTAGTCCCTCACATACAACATTTAAGAACATGACATTTATATACAAAGCAAACATAAATAGATGATATGCAGAAAGAGCATGAGCAGCATAGGCTATACAAGCATGTACCACATGGGACGTAGTTAATTATGAGGTTATTACCCTATCCGATAATAATCCAATGCAGATGCACTAATGTTATATAAAACATTATTGTATGTGTGTATGTGTATTTATATAGTCTTACAACCGGCCCTTTGAGTGCAACCTTAATGCTGATGTGGCCCGCGATGAAATTGAGTTTGACACTGCATAAGATAAAAAACCTCTTACACGTCACAGTACATCCTAAATAATGTCCTTACACCGAGAGTAAACACTTTACATGTAACAGGGTTCATACACTTTTTCACCGATGATTTGCAATGACTTCTCCATGACCACAAACATTACTCTTTCTCAGCGTTACCACTGAAAATGGTTTATTTTAACATGGAACAGGAAAATATATGAAACATGTCACGCCTATCTAAAACAAATTAAATAGTAGGCTTGCTTGCTTGCTTCTACAGGCTAAAGTAACTTAAATCTCTCACCAGCAAAATACCTCGTCAGTTAAATGCCATTTTACGTTTCATTACTATACAGTATTTATTATCATTATAGTATTACTATTTCGGCGATTAGATACAATTAATAAATTATGTTTGATGCAACTTTAAATTACATTTCCATGACTTTTCCAAAACTTTGGGAAACATATTGTTTTCCATAACTTTTCCAGGGCCTGGAATTAGCATTTTGAATTTCCATGACTTTTCCAGGTTTTTAATTACCGTAAGAACCCTGATATAAACACGTTGAAGTTGGTTTGGCAAGACCATGTTGGGTAAATGCTACACTTTCCATAACAGAAGCTTCCAGTAGCTTCGAGAACTTCCGAAGAAGCTAGCAAGCAACAGTTTTAGCTAGTTTAGCAACTCACCTTAGATTGGGCTCAGGTGGTTCCTCAGAGCACACGTCTTCATATGTTAACTTCCAGCGTGCGTTCCGTGCTTGTTTCTTCAGCTGTGCTACGACTTTTTTCGTTTTTCCCATTTTTAAACTATTGGTGCACAATAAAATCACCGATGCAGAACTTCTGTCCGACGACCACTGACTAGCGTGGTGCTCCTACTACATCCATGTTTTCACGTTTTCACCTCAACATTTAAATCCCCGCCCTTTTCCCCCAAACCTAGCCATTGGCCGCATCCAGAGCCGGTGTCAGTGTCACTACCCAATCTGCAGCTCTGCCCGATCTGCAGTGCGCATGTGCGAGATGGTCCGCCATATTGGACAACTCCGGACGGCAACCCAAGTAGGACAACATTAACACAGTGGCTTTTGGCAAAGCTCAAAAAGAAAACTCGAGAGAGATGAGTTATTGTTATTACAACGTGACTTCACTATTATTTAACAACTCTTTTTATTGGGTTCAGTACATTGTCAGAATAAGTGAGAAATGAATTTTACTTTTGTTATACAGCCATATGCCATACATTTTTGCACACATTCACAGTAAATTCAGTATGATAGCTGTCTAACAGAAGTTACATTAATTTCTCACTTATTCTGACAATGTACTTAACCCCAAATAAAAGAACCCAATAAAAAGAGTTGTTAAATAATAGTGAAGTCACGTTGTAATAACAATAACTCATCTCTCTCGAGTTTTCCTTTTGAGCTTTGCCAAAAGCCACTGTGTCAATGTTGTCCTACTTGGGTTGCCGTCCGGAGTTGTCCAATATGGCGGACCATCTCGCACATGCGCACTGCAGATCGGGCAGAGCTGCAGATCGGGCAGTGACAAGCAGCTCTCATAGGAATGAATGAGGCCCCGCCTCCCACGCTGTATCCAGTTCTTATTATACATCCATGGTAGTGACAGACACCCATGCCCGGCGCCGTGGGAGGGCCAGGGAGGGCCAGGCCCTCCCATTTGACATTCCTGCCCTCCCCCAATAAACACGTTTTTTATTATTTATAACATTTAAAAAAAAAAAAGTTTTTATTTTTTAAATTATAAATAAACTGTGAACTTTTATGCTACGATGTATCTGATGTCAGATAGTAACTAAAACAAAAAATCGCAGGCTATGTCAAATAAATTCATGTGTCTGTTGTGATTTGTGATTCGTCCACATTTAGACCAATCACAGCGTCACACTCTGCCGCCTTCTGGATTTGTTTGTTTATTGTGCATTCTGTAGACTCCCATTTCTGTTTGAATTACAAAATGGACATCAGAAATTGGCTGAAAAGCAACCGCTCAAAGACCAACAGCCCCAGATGATCTTGGGGTTAATAAACCCAACCAGGTGAAACTGGATCGTTATCAGGGAGATTGTTTTCAGGAAAGAAGCGCACTTTTGCCGCTGCATGGTACAACAACAGACCGGCTTGAAGATTCGTTAAAAGCAGACGCAGCCTTTTGTTTCCCCTGTAGACACTTTAAAGTAAATACGTCTTCATCTGATGTGGCTTTTACTGTCAAAGGTTTTTGCGACTGGAAACACGCATTACAGACTGATACAGGACTGCTAAGGCATGCCGCATCAAAAGAACACATTTCATGTGAGAGTTTGTGGAGAGAGAGAGAGACACGCGAGGAAACAAATAAGGAAATTAGTACTTTGGTGCGCACAGATCAGCTGGCACGGAACCGTTATTACGTGTCAGCTGTCGTTGATATTATAGCTTTTTTAGCCGTCAACCAACTCCCTCTCAGAGGTGACTCGATTCACTCCACAGCATGTCCGAGTCAGGCAGTGGGCTCTTCCTATCGCTGTTTGAGTATACGCTGCACAAAGATGCAGAGTTGGCCAAAAATAATGTTCTAAGTTAGCTCGGCTGAGCGAAAGGATGCACCTGCAGTGCATAGGAAAATAAACCATGCTCAAGGCGGGTTAAACAGTGCATCGTCTCCGTCTATTTCTCTCCGAGTGCAGCGATGAGGAAGCTGCCATCCTTAACCAGTGTGCCTTGCTCGTGATTTACCAGTGTGTGTGCTGCCACGCACACAATGTTTCAAAAGTGGTTTCTATGTTGCCCTTTATTTGTGTATGTATTTGCGATAAGTGTGCGTCTTTACGCAATGCTGTTGGCCTTGCTGTTTGATATATATTGTGCCGCAGGCCCGCAGCACATGACGGTTTTGTGTGCCCTCCCATGAAAATCATATGCCCTCCCTTTAGATTTGTTCTGGCGCCGGGTCTGCAGACACCCATAGATATATATAAACACTAGATGACTCACCCGCGCTGCTGGTCAATGGAGACCGACGTTGCCACATGGCCGCCATCTTGCTACAGGCAGTGCTCTCATTCATAACATTATGGTTTACTATTTAAATAACCATAGCTTGCTCAATTTTCAACCAATTTTCAAACGGTTTGCTTTTTTATAAACATCAAAGATGTAGTTATGATACTGCATACTTATAGTCATGGACTTTCTTATGAAAATAACATTAAGCAGATAAAGCAATAGCTATACACACACACAGTATTTATATTAAATATTTGCCGGTGTATATATTTCCATTTATTTTATTGTTAATATTTAAAATAAATTATAAAATTAAAATATATTTATATATAAAAAATCGGTCTCATGTTACCACTCTGTAAGCCAAGAGTTGTTAATTTAGCAATGCCTTAGCTTTAAGAATAGGGACACAACTAATGACAATAGCATATGGTGGTATATTATTTAGATATTCACACCTTTTATCAGAAGAACCAAACCAACATAAAATGAGCTCACAGACAGGCCAGTTCTGTCTCATTTATCACAATTATACGAATATATAAATAATAGTAATATGGAAATTAATAAGTTACTTTTTTAACAATTCAATGTTCACTTATCAATACTGTGAGCCTGATTTTTTTTACGTTCTCCAACAGAAAACACAACTCAGCGTACTTTTAAGAAATTGATCTTAATAGGCTTTTCCCCTTATAAGGCAAACATATGTTTTGAGGCTCTGGACAAGAATGGCTATTTTGATTGTAAAGGTTGCCAACCCCTGGGTGTAGTTTCAATGTTTGCACATGTTTATTCAAGTGTATGATTGACATAGAGCAAGTGAGATGGCCAGTGGTTCTCAAACCTTTTACACAGAGTACCACCTCAAATTATATTGGGCTCTCCTAATAACACCATCATAGACCTTCCTGGGTACCACCGAGATAAAGGATTTAATATGACAAGCCATATGATGCTCTGCTCTCATTTGTTAGTGACATTCCACATGCAAATAAAACAAGATAAGATGGTACTTTATTGATCCCAATTTGGGAAAACATTTTTAGTTACAGCAGCATAAGGGAGAAGGCATTTTACAATGAATTAGAAATAGGCAAGAAAAATAAAGAAAGAGGAAAATATACATGTTGAGTTTGGCAGGATATTATATATACAATATACATAAATATAAGGCATATGGAATATTAATGTTAAATATTAAATAGATTATATATGTGTAAAATGTACAACGTGGTTATATTCAAGAGAAACTATGGAGCAGAGAGTTATCTTCCAGCCAGAGGTGATTTGTTGAGTTATGGCACTGCGGAGCTGCAGCAGTCTGTTGGGGAAGGAGCTCCGTTGACTGCAGGTGGAGAGGATGGGTGGGGTTATCCATGATGGACAACAGCCTGTTCAGTGTCCTCCTCTCCACCACAGCTTCAAAGGGGTCCAGCTTGATGCCGATGACAGGTCCAGCTTTCCTGATCAGTTTATTGATCCTGCTGGTGTCACCGGCTCTGATGCTGCCCCCCCAGCGGACCACAGCAAAGAAGAGTGCACTGGCCACAACAGACCGGTAGAAGATCTCCAGCATCTTGCTGCACACGTGGAAGTATCTCAGCTTCCTCAGAAAATAGAGTCTGCTCATCCCCTTCTTGTGCACAGCATCAGTGTTGATCCTCCAGTTCAGTCCGTTGTCTAAGTGCACTCCCAGGTATTTGTAGTCCTCCACAACAGCCACATCCTCTCCCAGAATGCACAGGGGTAGAGGAGACGTCCTCACCCTCCTGAAATCAATGACCATCTCTCTGGTCTTGGCCACATTCAGAATACTCACAACATTAGGCTGAGGTTCATCTTCCGCTCTTCTTGAAGTGGTTGTGCTTCTTGTTGCTTCCGGCTAAAATAAACATAATTAAAGACATTTTGAGTGTTTAAAATTTGCTGTAATACACAACATATTATTTATTCCTAAACTTGCAGAAAGAAAAACTAAAGTGTAACATTTAATCACATATTTATATATCAATCTTATACACCTTGAATTCTTGTTGGCCAATGAGACACATACCCTTTGAAGATGAGCTGGGAAATTGAATACTGTTGGCACAACACCATCTTTAAGCCGGACAGTCTGCCCTGTCCGGTCAAAGTCCTCACTCCTGAAGTGCTCACTGCAGAGCAGTGTCCTGTCACAGGAAACAAAACCGTCCCTTCTTAGGGCGAGTTCCCACTGCCTCCTCCTCTCTCGGCGGTCAATACAAATTCTGAAGTTTTTGCCAATCCGATCACATTTTTTTGAAAACCATGGATTTTTGGATCTTCAAAGAGCTCGATTACGATGGCCAGTCAGGCAAACAATTACAATCGATCATTGGAAATCGACAATCGGTCTCGATATATGGTTAAATTAAAATCAGTAGGCGAGCCTGTAATTTCTCCAGCTGTTACTCTCATGAGCGAGGCGGAACATAATAGTTTTAACATGCCAAAAAGCTGCTGTGTCGTTTATTGCACCTCAAACATAAAAAATAATCAAGAGTTCAGTGTTTCTGAACTTCCTCAAAGAAGAAAGGACAGTAAAAGAAGAGCTCTGTGGCTTCAGGCTCGATCGCCATTCAAATGACAGCGTTGTTTCCCCCAAAAGTGGGCGGGGCCGTAAAGTCACGTAGATCTTACTCTCATCTATGAAAATCGATCGCCGCTATATTTAACCATATATCGAGCCCGATCGTCGATTTATAATGGCTTAATGCAATTGTTTGCCTGTCTGGCCATTGGAATCGGGCTCTTTGAAGATCCAAAAGTCTCCGGTTTTCTTACATTTCTGATCGGATTGGCAAAAACTTCAAAATTTGTATTGACCGCCGTTCAACTGACAGCGTTGTTTTCCCCCAAAAGTGGGCGGAGCCGTTCTTTTTGCCCGGAAGTGACGCATTTGTTACTCTCATCTATACTATTATCTCACATAGCCCCACTGATCCT